TTGCTGCCCTCCCAGTCATCTCCTGGAAGTCATGGTCATGAAGAACTCATTGAGGGGGAAGATTCCCACTGGTGGGACAAAGCAGCAGAGGGTCTGGCTGAGCCACGGTCAGGACCTAACACCAAAAGGCACAAAATAGAATGATTTTTGTGATTTCCACCCCACAGCTCTTGCTCTGGAGAGGTATTTGTGCTTCCACCTCCAATCCAACCCGTATCATCCAGACATTAAAGGCCCCAGGGCCTCCAAAGCCCCCATCATCACCTGTCACCAAAATAAGTCTTTCACCAAACTCTAAAATCACAGAATCCCAGAATGGTTTGGGTTGGAAGGGACCTTCAAGCTCATCCAGTTCCAACCCCCTTGCCAGCAGCAGGGACACCTTCCACTAGACCACGTTGCTCAAAGCCTCATCCAGCCTGGCCGCCAACACTTCCAGGGAGGAGCAGCCACAGCTTCCTTGGGCAGCCTGTTCCAGTGTCTGACCACCCTCACAGTGAAGAAGATCTTGAAGATCTTGATCAAGAAGGTCTTGATCCTGTAAAGCATCAAGATCCTCCCCACCAGCAAGAGGCAAACACCAATTTGGGGTTGTTCTTTCCCCCCTCCTTTAAGATGCTTTGAAATGTGACTGATTTCCAGAGCCCAGAACGTGCAGGGAGCGAAGCCTCATTAATGATTCCTGAAGATAAGTTTTAATAAACTCCTAAAAATCACCTGAAATGACTCATTTACACCCATTTCACTGGCACGTTCTCAATGTTCACTCAGATCAACGTTCATCCCTTTGCTTGGTAGCTAAGAAGAGAGAGACAAGAAGCAAACGAGAAGAATTTCAAGTATATAAAAATAAACTGGAATATTTTATTATAAGAAGAAAAAAAATTACAAAAGAAAATAATAATGCAGAGAAGACATCAGGGAGTTTGGTGCTGGACATCAGACCACACAGGATCTACTCAAACACCTGAGGAGAAGGGAGTTATGGACACAAACACTGGGAAACCTGTGAGATGCTGCTCCCAGGGATGATGGCAGCGCCTCAGGGCAGGGACTTCTCCTGGACCAGGCTGCAGGGCTGCTGCAGAGGCTCCAGACTGGTTTGGGCTGGGAGGGACCTTCAAGCTCATCCAGTTCCAACCCCCCTGCCAGCAGCAGGGACACCTTCCACTAGACCAGGTTGCTCAAAGCCTCATCCAACCTGGCCGCCAACACTTCCAGGGAGGGGGCATCTACAACTTCCTTGGGCAACCTGTTGGGACCTCATTTATTCATCATTTCTTGTGGAATCCCACCCAAAATACCCCAATTATCTGTTAAAAACAACCTCACTTTTGAATTGCTGATTGGATGTTTTCCAGACTCGGCTCTTTCTCCACCATACGAAATGGTGGAGCACATAACCAGCTGCCACTTCAGCCAGGTCACCCCTCACAGGTCCTGGTTTGAGTCATGGAAAAGAAAGAGAAACACGCTTTGACTTTTTGAAATGTCCTCAAGCCCAGGACCTGCTCAGCTCGTTGGTGCAGAACTCCAGTGATCACTGCTCTGGTCTGGGCTTACCAGGGTTAGTTAGTCCTGGGGCTTTTACACCGACCACACCAGTGTCCTCCTCCAAATCCTCGTGACGTGCAGGAGGAGGATGGTTTTTTTAAATAGCAGGGTTTGGGTGCTGAAGTCTGATGGAAGGAAGAAGCTTCCTTGAAATCCAACCATGTCCTGGGCTGCACCCAGAGCAGCGTGGGCAGCAGGTGGAGGGAGGGGATTCTGCCCCTCTGCTCCGCTCTCCTGACACCCCACCTGCAGTGCTGCCTCCAGTGCTGGGGACACCAACAGCACAAGGACATGGAGCTACTGGAGCCAGTGCAGAGGAGGCCACGAGGATGATGCGAGGGCTGGAGCAGCTCTGCTGTGAGGACAGGCTGAGAGAGTTGGGGCTGCTCAGCCTGGAGAGGAGAAGGCTCCAGGGAGACCTTCTAGTGGCCTCCCAGTACCTGAAGGGGCTCCAGGAAGGCTGGGGAGGGACTTTGGCCAAGGGCAGGGAGTGAGAGAACAAGGGGTGATGGCTTGAAAGTGGCAGAGGGGAGATGGAGATGAGATGTGAGGAAGAAATTGTTTGGTGTGAGGGTGGTGAGACAGTGTCCCAGGTTGGCCAGAGAAGCTGTGGCTGCTCCTCCCTGGAAGTGTTTGTGGCCAGGTTGGATGAGGCTTTGAGCAACCTGGTCTAGTGGAAGGTGTCCCTGCTGCTGGCAGGGGGGTTGGACTAGATGATCCTGTGAAGGTTCCTTCTAACCCAGACCATTCGATGAGTCCCCACTATCCTGCTCAAATGCTCCCCTCTACAAGTACCACGTTCCACTGAAAGCAGAGCAGGATCCCCTGACGGCTGCACTGCCCTGCAGGGAAAGCAGAACAATTCTCCTCCCCAGCCAGCACACACAACCACCTTTCACGTGGACACTGCTCTTTTTCCTCCCCATTTTTTGGTGGTTGCCAAATTCTGGGATGTTTTCAGGAAGTTCCAGACCCACAATGAACTCAAGTTTACAAAATGCTTCACTTTACACCGCATCTGCTGTCCAGAGCCCTCACCCAGCAGAGCCAACAGGGCAGGACTGAAGAGAAACACCACACAGGATGTCATCTAGCACAGAGCACGTCTTCTCAACTTGTAGTTTCTCCCTTTTTCAGCCCCAAAACAGAGGCAGGTACCGTGCAATGAACCCAGCGAGCTGTGGAGCATCTTCAAAGTCCACAGATCTTGGGCTGTAGCAACAGGTAGAGCTGGATGTGATTTGGTGTTTCTGTAACTCTACTGCAGGTGAACTGCAAGTGACCCAACCAGCACGGGCTGTCCAGCACCACCAACCATCACCAGAACATGCACTGGGGCCAGAGAGCTGGAAATTAACTTCTCTGAAAAGAAACCAGGGCTGTAAGAAGATGTGCTGGAGACAGGATGATGGTCATTCAAATATCCCAGGATAAACCCCAACAGGTATGAACTGAACCCATCTGCACCCGCGTTTCACACACGGCTGAGCCACCCCACGCGCAGGATGACTTCTCCATCGGCGTCACGGGAAGGTGCGGAGAGCTCATGGAAAAGTGGCTCCTCCACACACCCTGACTGCAGCACAGCTAGAGAATCACAGAATCACTGTGGTTGGAAAAGCCCTTTAAGATCATCGAGTCCAACCATGAACCCAACACTGACAAGTCCCCTATGACTAACCCATGTCCCTCAGCACTGTGTCTACACGACTCTTCAGTCCCTCCAGGGATGGGGACTCCACCACTGCCCTGGACAACCCCTTCCAATGCCTGACAACCCTTGCAGCAAAGAAATTCTTCCTCACATCCCATCTCAACTGCCCTTGGGTGCAACTTGAGGCCATTTCCTCTTGTCCTGTCCCTTGGTCCTTGGTTGAACAGACCCACCCCCACCTCTCTCCACCCTCCTCCAAGGGACTTGCACAGAGCCACAAGGTCTCCCCTCAGCCTCCTTTTCTCCAGGCTCAACACCCCCAGTTCCCTCAGCCACAAGGGAACTCAGCACACTTGTGCTCCAGACCCTTCCCCAGCTCCGTTGCCCTTCTCTGGACACGCTCCAGCACCTCCATGTCCTTCTTGGACTCAGGGGCCCAACACTGAACCCAGCACTCAAGGTGCAGCCTCACCAGTGCCCAGGACGGGGGCAGTTCTGCACACGGTTCTGCTGAAGTCCCCAATGCTGGTGGCACGGCAGAGAACACCACTAACCACCTGGTTCATTTCCTGAAGCAAGACCCAAGTCTGGGCAGCGTGTCTGAGCAGAGCAGGGCGCAGCAGAGCCAGGAGGGAGGTCAGGTTACAAACCAGCTGCCTGCTGCTGTGCTTTTTTAAACTGCTGTCCAGCATCAGCATCTCTGTCGTCTTCAGAGACTGTTTATTCCATGTGCAGCCACTTCTGAATCCATATCCTGAGATCTGTAGGGTTCCAAACTGCAGGCTGCATGCGAGATGGCATGCACAGAGAAGACAGATTGCCACGTGCATACTGGAAGGAGAGGTTTCCCCCAGAAATGACTAATTTAGTAATTAATAAGCATAAAACAGAACATTACAGAGAAGATTCCAAGTGTCTGACTGAATCTCTTTGGTATAGTGATACGCAGCCAAGTTTTACAACACACACACACAAAGAATCCAAACAAAAACCTCCACAATTTCATCTTCAGCTTTGCTTTTATCAGATCTGGAGGTGAGAGGTTGATGGACACTCCAACTCCAGCTCTATGGCACACGCCAACAGGGGACTGTGGTCTGCACACAAGCATTACGGGCTGAAATCAGCAGATTTAGGGAACCCAAGACACAGGATTTGTGCCTGACTTTTGTCTCTAACAACCTGTACAGGCAGAGAAGAAACTGAGCTAACAGAAGGAAAGCCTCACCATTAGCACAACGGTGCCTGAGAGGCCACTGAACAGTTTGGAGGAGACACAAATGCTCCATGTGGGGGGTTTTTTTAACATGCCAGGGCCGTGCTGATGTTCTTTCCCCTTCACAGAGAATTTCAGAGCATCACGCCAACGCCTCTCATCTGCTGAACTCACTGTGAACTGGGTCGACATTCAGCACCCAAAAGAATCTCGATGGAGGGAGGTGCAAGTCTTCTACTGTGTCACCACCATCACACACGTAGAAGGCTACACACAAAGGGCTATTTGAGATCAGTGACACAACGTCCTATGAATATTCCAGATACAACCACCACCTTTGCTCAGTGTATCTGCACACAAACTCCCCTGGAACAAACCTGCGCTGTGATCCAGGATTAGTTTCAACTGTTTACACAAAGAAATGCCCACAGTCCTCTGCTTTTCTCATTAGGTGACCCACAAGGAGTTGAATTCACCCCAACAGTCAGTGAATCAATGCTTTGAAGCCAAATGTGGATGTAGTGACCCAGGAAGTGCCTCAAGTTCATAGATCCAAGGTACAGAATCTGCAGGGAGTCAGGCTGAATCCAGGAGTTCCAGAAGAGCACCGACCGCACCAAAATAACCCTGGAGAGCAGAAAGAATATCTATTAAAAATTCAAGTAAAGACATAGAATTGATACAAGAACCAGAATATTACACCTATGGTTTCATTTTAATGACTTATAGAAGATGGTGGGAAGAAATATCTATAGGTAGGTACATTACAAAATAGACTCTAATTGCTACACGGGAAAGCAGAGCTGCACAGAATCATCTACACTGTCCACAGTCCTAAAACAAAGTTCACAAGCAAGGTGAGCTTGGTAGTAACCAACCCTTAAGGGCAGTTGAGCTTGGATGTGAGGAAGAATTTCTTTGCTGCAAGGGTTGTCAGGCATTGGAAGGGGTTGTCCAGGGCAGTGGTGGAGTCCCCATCCCTGGAGGGATTGAAGAGTCGTGTAGACACAGTGCTGAGGGACATGGGTTAGTCACAGGGGACTTGTCAGTGTTGGGTTCATGACTGGACTCCATGAGCTTAAAGGGCTTTTCCAGTCTGGGCAATTCTCTGTGTGACTCTGTGTGATTTGTGACCCACACTGGACACTGCAGTAACAAAGCCCTGGAAACAGCTGCTCAGCACCTATCACCAGCAGCCGGACTCCACAGGGCTGTTTCACAGAGGATTTGAATTTTGAAATGAGACAAAATACATTTAAAATCTCACCTCATGTTCTAAGAAAAGTGCTTTTAACTGTCCCTTTGACCAGTAGTCCAAAGCATATGCCAGAAGCCTCATGGAGATGGTATTGATCCGAAGGAAATTGCCAACGAACACCACTCGATTGATGTTCTGCAAGTATCAAGGGAAAAAAAAACCCACAATGGAACATTAAGGCTGAATTCATTTTCCATTTGCAGTGATGAATTCCCCACCTGAGAGTAAGCAGAAACAAGTTACACTTATAGTGCCTTTTAAAAATGCCACATGCAGCTTCTCAAATACATTTTCCAGTGAGATTTGATGAAAAACAACCAGCTGACAGCAGAGGGAAATCACTCATTGACACTGAAGAAATCAGAGCCTGAGAAACTGCGTCACCCCAAAGAGCTGCTCCTGGCAGCTAAAGGGCGTAACTGCCTTGGTGAGTGGGGATGGGAGCTGCAGAGACAAGAGTTGCAATGCATCTGCAGCTTTCTGAACTCAGAATTATAAACTGGACCTCAAAGAGCTGATCTGGAAGCAAGAGACAACTGGGCCAGTGTCTGACCACCCTCACAGTGAAGAACTTCTTCCTAATATCTCATCTAAACCTCCCCTCTTTCAGCTTAAACCCATTTCCCCTTGTTTTGTCATTAACTGCCCTTATGAAAAGTCCTTCCCCAGCCTTCCTGGAGCCCCTTCAGGTACTGGGAGGCCGCTATAAGATCTCCCTGGAGCCTTCTCTTCTCCAGGCTGAACAGCCCCAACTCTCTCAGCCTGTCCTCATAGGAGAGGCCTCATGTCTTGCCTAACTTCAGCAGTAAATGAAGGTAATTAGCGAGCATCTGCCAACAGCAGCAGGAGTCAGGAGGATGCTCATCCCGTAGGAACAGGCTCAGAACGGACGGAGAGCAGGTCTCTGTTCTTTCATAGCCCTGTACAATGCTGCTTGACATGAATGCAACAAGGCAGCACTGTAAAGAAGCTGAAAGCACAAAGGAACGGCCATGGAAGTGGTGAAGCCTGACCAAGGAATCGAGAGCAGCTCATAAAAACAACCCAGGAGAGGTATCCAGCCTCCACAACTCCTCCATCCCACCTTTCTGTGCTCTCAGCCAGCCCAAGAGCTGTCGTTAATCGCACACCTACCGTTGCTGTTTAACTCCTGAACAAGCAGAGGAGCCAGTCAGACCAACAGCCAACCCCTCCTTCATTCACAGCTCTTCAGCACAACCATCTGGCTCAACACCAGACACAGAGCCAGGAGAAAATTCACTACAGAATCCAAACCAAGCAGATGACAATTATACTGAGCATCCAAAAGGAGGAGGATGAACACGCGTCTACAGAAGTGTACGCAGGAAAAGAGAGACACTGCCTGACAGCGGCACACGAGTGATGCTTCAGACAGGAAGCAATTAAACAATTTCCCCTTAATTAATACCTCATTAAGTGCACACATCCGTGCTATGGAGCCAATGTTGTTAGTGATGGTTATTAAAGTGGCCTTTGCGAGGTCCTCTTTGCTGACAGATTCCCGCTTCTCCTTGCTCATCATGTTTCCAAAGCTGTAAAGACATTTTTCGAGTGAAAAATCCATCAGCATCAGAATTCCAGGAGAAAATGGGAATTGCTAATTGAAGCAAAGTGATTCATCTTGAAGTATTTATTTCTAACTTTAAAAAAAAAATGTTGCTATCAGTAATTTAGATCTGTTAAAAGAGAAGAGCAGAAGGGAAGGAATGGTCGCTCTCCTAAGACGTGTAAATCCAGTTGTTCATCCTTGCAGAATCCCCAGTGAAAATAATAAAAATAAAAATAGAAATAAAAATAGAA